GTGGTTTCCTTGAGATCCACCCTGAGCTTGCTTTGGTTTGCTTTGACTGGTCTTGTGACCATCTGGTTGTCCCCCACTTCACCTATGGGGGTGTGTCAAACATTATACATGTTTATATTGTGTAGGCTATAGTGGGTTTAGCCTTAGGGGGTACAACATTGCTAGGATTTCCTACTTGTATCACCCTGCTGCCTAGTTCATTCATTCTCGTTCAGTTCTACATTCTAACAGCAGCTGGAGAAATGGCGGCAGGTGGATCTAGTGGTCGCAGGATGGGAATGCCGGGGTTACTCGAGGGCTGGAGAAGGGAGAGGCATGGAGGATGCGAGGGGAGCTTCATTCAGGGACCTAAAAAGGGTGCTGAAGATGCTGCAGAGGAAGCAAGGGGAAGTGCTCTACATCCTAGAAAATGTAGACATTGCAGACGATCGCCGAGAACCAGTCAAGAGGGCCTTTGCGGAGATAGAAGAAGCAGTGGGAAGGGGAGTAGCGGCAGACGCAGCACAGTTGGGATCCAGAGCGCACCGCCCAAGGAGGTACTGGCAGTACGGAGTATATGACACCTGCTTGAGGCACTCCTTGGCTCAGATGCAGAGGCCAGAGCCCAGGATGGTGAGCGACATACTGGGACCAGGACGCCTGGCAGCACCAGTGACATGCCCAGATCACCCTTCACAGTACCAGTGTAATGTGCCAGGAAAGCCACGGCAGGCTCTACCAACGCTAGTCTCATACGTGGAGGCTCGGGGGTTCATGATGGAGGGAGACCAGCCAGGTCCGGGCATGGTCTACGATGAGAGGAGCATGAAATGGGAGGAGCCATCGGCAGAGGAGAGAGAGCTAGCGATGGGACACCTGTGGGGAGCCACTGCACATCCGCAAGTGACAGAGAAGCAGCGGAGGGTGGCAATGGGGAGGGCAATGGACCTGAATGCGATGAGTTGGTTGATCGAAACCATACGCATGCACCTAAAGCACAAAGAGATAGAGCTGGCTATCGAAATAGGAGAGATATACCAGGAGGGAGAAGAAGTATTGATGAGAAGGCGCCAGCTGGAGGAGATAGAAGAGCAGCAGGAAGGATGCATAGGAGAAGGCTGGGCGTACATGGCCATGGCTTGCGGAGAAGCAGCGGCAGCAGGCACGGATGAGCAGACAAAGGAAAGGGGGGCCAAGGCACCAAAGAAGGTAGAGAAAGGAGAGAGATATGAGGAGGAAGAATGGCCGATAGGCGAAGGAATGGGGGCAGCAGCAGCAAGTGAGCTGCAAGCAGTGCTCCAGATGGACTTTCGCCTACGCGCTGCTAGAACTGCGGAAGTGCAGCACGTACCAGATGCAAATCAAGCTCACGAGTGAGGTGTTGATATACCAGAGGAAGAGACGAATGAGCCCAGGAGACATTGACATCTGCCTAGACAAGTGTGCAGAGCTGCTAGAAGCGGGCTTGATCCAATGGTCAGAGAGTGACTACGCCGCGGCAACGGTGGTGGCTAAGCCCGCAGACTTCCGACAAGGCGGAGAGGCGTGATGTTGAGGCTGGAAGTGACGAGCGTCTTGTCGGCCGACCCAGTTGTTGATATTAGTGGAATTTGGGTGGCGATAGCTGGACCGGGATTTGCATCGGTCCGTTGAGTGTCCGAAGACTTTGCAGGTTTTGGAGTAATGGCGCCTGTTTTGTCGTCGCTCTTCACGGCTGTCTGTGTAGAAGGCGAGGCGCTCTCTGCGTGGCGCAGAGCTTGTCTTGCTTGAGTCCATATCACAAAAACCCTGTGCCAAGTTTGGATGAATTTTGATTCCGATTGACTTCGCGTAAACAAATCCGGATACATTTTGGACCGACGGTTGGAGTCATTTGATAGGAGCTCCGAGACACATCGCGCGACAAGGTTTGGCTCGGGTCAACTTCCGATTTGGCACGCGAGCGTTTTCGGATGACATTCGGGCGCAATCCATTTTGGTGGAAATTCGGGACCAAATTATTCAAAACTACAGTCTGGTTTTGTTCATTTTGGATATTGAGCATTTCAAAATTACATTTATTATTCCGGTTTACAATAGCCATTACTCAGTATTCTAGCAACAAGAAGTTTTAGCACCACGTCAAATAGCCTACGCAATGCCGGGCCCTGCAAGCGCCCGGTGGGCAAGAACGACCTCTCCAAGGTCGCCATCGTCGATGAGGAACTTGTTCGGGAAGACGAACGCACCCTGAGCCGGATCGTGTGGGATTCTCCGCTCCACGACAGCAAAGTGGATCATCCGTTTGACCTTTACGCACCACTCCAAGTAGTCTGGCCTGTTTTGTTCTGACTGGCTACTAATTCCCTTGCGACGCTTATCCTGCAGAAGGGGCCACTCGATCTGCAATGTGGTGTAGGGTTGGGTGGATGGTTTATGAGGAGGGGGGGGTTACGGGTAATTGAGCCAACTGAAAGCGGTGATTGAGTCGTCACTATCTACGTAACCGCAAAGGCTTAATCGACCAGGGATTTAGCTGAAGTACAGGCAAGGGGTTAAGGGGATATGGCATGAGTGTACAAACAGATAACTATATCCTTACCGAAAACAGGCCCCATGCCACCATGCGGCTCTTGAACTTGGTGAACACGACCCCGCTCCTCTTGAAGGAGAGCTTGAACGCATAAGCAAACAAGGGGTTGCTGAAGGGCGTCTCGGTGGCCTTGTCAAAGTGCCAATTGAGGGCCCACTGTTCTGCATTTTGGGAGGTAGGGTGTGGGTTAAAAAGGGGGTGCATAGAAATCAAGTGGGGGGATGAGAGTCAGGGTGAGCCACATCGCACGATGATATGTAGCTGCCAACTGGCATTTGGTGAGGCATATGGTGTAGTCGAGTTGCACACACCATCTCTGTACTCGGCTAGGAGTTTCTCAGCGTCGAACCACCTCGTTGGGCGTAGCTGAGTGGGCAGGCTATCCACGAGATGGCTGAAATCGGCAAGGCCCATGCCGGTGTAAGCTGCTGGCCTGAGGGTGGAGTTGATTGTTGACCTTGTTGACGACATCTGGTGGTTGAAGACTGTCATAGTTGACTTTTCATTGTGTAGCCACAGCAGCTTCATTGACTCGATCCCTTCTGCAGACAAGTGGACATAGAACGCTTCGAACACTTCTTTCGGTGCAGGGTAGTACTGTATTTTTCCGGCGGGTTCAGAAACAAGAGCTGAGAGGTCACTAAGTAGGCTTTATTATGCGCAGGGGTGTAGGGAATACGACACGACATGGGAGAAAGAAACCAGAGTTTATGATTGTGGCCGCGGGACCTCAGGATGGTGATTAGCAACACTGTGTGAACTTGCCACGTCACACCCTCCTGCATCCGCCACATCCACCAACAACCCACCCCATTGCCACGTCACAACCCCCTACCACAAGCCACATCACCCCCCACCCACCTGACACGCCTCGGCTCGTCATGCGCCGCTCGCGTATACCCTTCAAACCGCCACATCATCCCCAACCCTCACCTTCCGCCACATCACACCCTCTTGCATCCGCCACGTCCACCAACAACCCGCCCCATTGCCACGTCACACCCCCCTACCATAAGCCACGTCACCCCCCACCCACCTGACATGCCTCGCCCCGTTATTTTTCTGCTCCCTCGGACCCGACAAACTGCCACGTCATCCCCAACCCTCAACTTCCGCCACGTCACACCCTCCTGCATCCGCCACGTCCACCAACAAACCGCCCCATTGCCATGCCACACCCCCCTACCACAAGCCACGTCACCCCCCACCCACCTGACACGCCTCGGCCCGTCGTGCGCCGCTCCCGTGTACCCTTCAAATCGCCACGTCATCCCCAACTCTCACCTTCCGCCACGTCACACCCTCCTGCATCCGCCTGGTCCACCAACAACCCGCCCCATTGCCACGTCACACCCCCCTACCACAAGCCACGTCACCGCCCACCCACCTGACAGGCCTCGGCCCGTCATGCGCCGCTCCCGTGTACCCTTCAAACCGCCACGTCACACCCTCCTGCATCCGCCACGTCCGCACAACAACCCGCCCCATTGCCACGTCACACCCCCCTACCACAAGCCACGTCACCCCCCACCCACCTGACACGCATGCGCCGCTCCCGTGTACCCTTCAAACCGACTCGTCATCCACAACCCTCACCTTCCGCCACGTCACACTCTCCTACATCCGCCACGTCCACCAACAACCCGCTCCATTGCCACGTCACACCCCCCTACCACAAGCCACGTCACCCCCCACCCACCTGACACGCCTCGGCCCATCATGCGCCGCTCCCGTGTACCCTTCAATCCGCCATGTCATCCCCAACCCCGCCTTGGTTGCCACGTCAACCCCAACCCGCCCCATTTTGCCCGCCACATACCGGGAATGGGTTTGTCTCGTGCAACACTAGCACTCGTGCCTTGTCCACGGCACTCATCGGCGGCGGGGTACCAGCCATAGGCACCACTGCGGACCCCCCGGCATAACTGGCAGGTGCTCCACGACAACATGGCGTACATCTCAGACCATAGCGCCTGGAACTCCTCCCGTGTAACAAACTGCTCGTGCTCCGCACTTTCACCTAGGGCACCCATGAGATTGGGAACAGGGTGTGAAGAATACCCCCTCTGGCAAAGGGGATCAACGTCTTCTGCAGCTGTCCCTTGTGCCCTCACACTATCACGCTGGCGGGAAAAGGGCAGCTCAGGGAAGGGATTGGCAGAAGTTCTTGGCTGATGCCCGCGCGAAGGACCGGCGAGGGGGGAGACCGCCCTGCCCCGGACAGGAAAGGCGTGGAGCTGCCGATATAAGTATGAGGGTGAGGCGAGTGGGGAGTGCGTGACGTGGCCTGGTGGACGGTATTTGGCTTCCTCTCCTCTTGGTGTGCCGGGTGCTGTAGCAGCGACTTTAGACGGGCCGGAGTATGGCGTGAAGAACCTTGGGGCTCCTGTGGATAGCGGGGTAACACTCGCTCTTCCGGCCCCCTTCGTTAGCTGCATCCGTTGCACACTTATCGGTGGCCCAATGCCTGTAACACGAGGGGCTGAGATTTATAGGGAGCATGAGCACAGAGTTGGAGTCGATTACGCTCAATACAGGGGCACACAAACATGCATACGAGCAGCGGTTTGAATCTAAATTGGGATTAGCACGGTACTGTTTTGTAAAAAGAGGCCTTACCTTGCTTTGCAGATTCGTCGACCTTGTCCTTCCTTGCACGGAAGAAAGAATGTGAAAATGGTGTTAATAGGCACGGTTTAGCAGAGAGTACTTCAGCCACGCCATATGTATGGGCCACGGTGCTTACCTCGCTGCTGTCCCTTCGGTTTAGCTGCATGCGCCTTCTCGTTGCCACCTTTCCTCGGGGTGCTTTGGCAGCCGCTACGACGTTTACCGGCATGTTCCTTCTTGGCAGAACCCACTGGAACCCCTTTGGCGCGGCCAACCTTTCTCTCTCCATCCCCTTTTGGGCCCTGGCTCCCTTTCTTTTTACCACCCCCTTCAGTTTTGACCTTCACTTTACGCGCCTTCGATCTGCCCACTGCTTCGCCATGCCGTGCGTCAACTGCCCCGCGTTTTCGGGAATGGCGAGTCCGCCCCTCCACCTTCCCTGTACCACTCCCCCGCCTGCCTCGCCCGCCCTGTCCCTTCACTGCCGACACATCCTCCTCCTCTTCCTCTTCCGCCCCTTCCTCCTCCTCCTCCTCCTCCTCCTCCTCCTCCTCCTCCTCCTCCTCCTCCTCCTCCTCCTCCTCCTCATCCTCCTCCTCATCCTCCTCATCCTTGTTGCCCCCCTCCTCGTCGTCCTCCTCCTCCTCCTCTTCGTCCTCATCATCATCATCCTCATCCTTTTCCTCCTCCCCAACATTCGCGTCCTCCTCCTCCGCATCCTCTTCATCCTCCTCTTCCTCCTCATCCTCCTCCTCATCAGCCTCCTCCTCCTCATCCCCCTCATCCCCCTCATCCTCCTCCTCCGCATCATCAGGGTCTTCTTCGCCGCGTTTTGACCTCTTCCCCCTCGCTGCTTGCTTGCCCCTCCTTCCGCCGGATGTTTTCCTCGCTCCGGGTCGGCCCTTCTGGCGCAATGCATGACCCGTCGCCTTGCCACTTGATTCCCTGGCGCCTCGCGTTGTCCCAACTTCCGCACCACCGGCGTCGTCAGCACTGCCTGTCGTCTGCCGCCTCTTCGCCCGCGTAGTGATGTCCCCGGCCACGGTGGTGTCATACTCTTCCTCCCCATCGCTCTTCCTCTGCCTACGCCTCCCACGTCCACCAGAAGGAGGAGAGCCACCGACGTCGGCAATGCCGTGTTTAGGCTCCTCCATAGAATCGTGCTCCCCTGCCTTGTCCTTATCTACCACGGCAGCAGAAACGTCGACCACGATCGGCTGGAGCAGCGTTAGATGGTGTTGCGATGCCTCCGCCTCGGACTCGTGGGTTGCGGCATGCTCGGCGCGGGGAGCGTTGCCGTGGTTTTCCCCTGTCGCCAAGCCCTTTCTCTCCGCCGACGCGACTGCAAGACTCACGCTCCCCTGCCCAGGATCTTCTTTGCCGCTGATGGTGCCGTCGTCAGTCGGACCGGGCTCGGTTCCACCAGAGGCAACATCCGCATCTTTTTTCACGGTAGAAACACGCTTGCTTCTCCTTATCGTCCGCCTTCGTCCCGAACTTCTCCTGTCCAAGCGCGGCCTTTTTTCCCGCCACTTTTTTCTATTGACGGCCACGCGCGGCGGACGCTTTAGATCTGCCACCACCCTCCCGATCGGTCTGAAGAGACAACCTCCTTGTCGCGCGACGTCCGGCCTGTTCCTCGTCCTTTTCTTTTTGCCGAGTTGCACGTGTCATGCTTGTAGTACAAATGCTATTTCTAACGTGCGGAACGGTTGAGCCGGTTTACTAAACGAACCGCAAAGGAATGTAACAAAGGGAGACTCGACGGTCTAATCAATCATCTCTTGCCGGAAACGCTTCAATTAAAACGGAAATAGTAGTCACTAAGCACAGAGCTACGGCCCATTACTTAGTCGACTTGTGAGTCACGAGCGATAGAAAAGCCTGTGCCATACATCGAGCAGCGTCAAAGCTGGTGGGCTCGAGGGTGACGGAAGCTGTTGGGTGGGGCACAAGGGTGGTTAGGGTGGCTTGCGAGACTAGAGAGATGACTGTAATCAGATCAGGCTAGATTGGACGGTGTACCTTTAGCCACCCGATCATAAACCCACTCACCGCTTCAATGGCGGATGTACCGCTTGGCTGGTGCTTTTGTTGCGGGAGGGGTCGTTTGAGATGCGTCGGCCAATCATTGTTGCCAACGCATAAATCACAACACATGCTCAAACGGTTTCTGAACCACTACAGCGAATGTAACCTAAACCATGTAAAGTATAGTGCTGACGCGAGCGAAGAACGTTGCATATACAAGCTAAATAAACTTCTAAACTACAACATAAAAAAAAAAAAAAAAAACGTTGCTAATGTAATATTATGGGGTTGTGGTAAGGTAGTGGGTTTGGCTCATGTCACACAGACAATGAGCGTCCAGAACTTTTACTTCTGACAATTGTACTAAGCACACGTAGGCTATGCCACAACGGTTAGACGTCGTTGGACGATATTTAAACACGACGATCACTAGTGCCAAACGGGAAACAGTTGTGGTATGGTATTGTATTGGGCACTATTCTCCTTAGTCGTTCACTTGTGCTCACTCTACTTGCGCATTCACAGGGAAAGTTGGCAAGAGTTTCACTAGCAAAAGCTCACAACAAATGGTAACAATGAAGCTGGCAAGCAAGACTACATCAGATGCTAGCAAAGATGTAGGTCGACTGCCAGCGCAGCATGGTCGACCGCGTTCCAGCACGACAAGGTCGACTGCGCTCCAGCAGTGCAAAGTCGCGACCTGCCAACGCTGCAAGTCGACGGCGTGCCAACGCTGCAGCAAGGCGGCTACACAGCGTTGCACCCGCAAGACAGAAGTGCACCCGCTTTCTAGGTGCCCGCAGTTGATTGGCGTGCTGTGCTTCGTCACTTGCACAGCGCAGACACCAGGTCGTCCTCGTGCTGACGACCGCACCTGATCAGCCACGTCGACCTCGGGATACCACCACCGAGGTCGGCTTTGCCACAACCACCTGGGCGACTGTCGCGCTCCTCCGCTGAACCCCGTCACCCGGGTAACTTGGTCGACCTGGCAACCACGTCGACCAGCAGCTTCTCCTCGTGCTTGTGGACCTCCCAAGTCGACGACCACCTCCATTCGACCACACCAGGTCGACCACACGTCTAGTCGACCAGCTCCAGGTCGACCAGCCCGGCTGTCAGCCGACCAAACCAAGTCGGCCACCCTTGGTCGGCGTCCCCAAGTAGACGCCTCTGAGGTCAACCTCGCCAGGTCAACCACCCGAACTTGGCGCCCTCCAAAGTCAGCCCCTCCCAGGTCGACGTCTCCCCTCGTCGACCACCAAGTTGAAGTCGGCCGCCAGCTCCCCAAAGTCGGCGGCACTGCAGTGGCCCTATGCAGGTCGATCACACCGTCGACCAGCTCACCCAAGTCGACGTCGCCCACTGCTGCAGATCGGCTGCACCTCCCGCACACCCGACTACGAAGTCGGCTCCGCCCAAACGAGGACGAGGCCAACACACAACTCCCGTTGACACTCCCCTGCTGCGTTTACGCTTGGGCCTCCAGCCCACACGGCAGCACAAATCGCAGAATAGCTCGTCACCGTGCACACAACATACAGCACGCCGGTCACCGCAACAGCCATGCAAGAGGGCATGGCACCTATTGCTATACATTGTCATCACCGTCGCCGACGTCGGCCAGGCGCACTTGGCCGATCGCAACGGAGCACTGGTTGAAGGCCGGAAAAAGCAACGCCTTCGTTACGAAGTCGGCCGGCTGCTCGGTGGTCGGGATGTACTTCAGCGTGAACTTCCCGCGCTTCACCATGTGCTTCAGCAAAGCGTATCGCCTCTCCATGTGCTTGAGGTTGCCCTGCAACCCCAAGCCCTCGGCGACTGTGATGGCCGACTTGTTGTCCACCCGAAGGACAGTTGGCGTCCCGGCGTCCAGCATCTAGAACTCTGCAAGGAGGAAACGAAGTCGGCGTCCCTCCTTGCCAGCCTCAGTGGCCGCCACGTACTCCGACTCGGTCGACGACAGCGTCGCGCACTTGATGCGCTGGCTCGACCAGGAAACTGCGGCACCTCCGAAGACGAGCACGTAGCTGCCCGTGCTCGTCCAGTTCTGCTTGTCGCCGGCGGCGTCGGCGTCCACGTAGCCGACCAGCTTCAGCGACTCTGGTTCACCGCCGAACTCCAGGGCGGTGTCACGGGTGTCAGCGAGGTAGGCGAGGCAGCGGTCGAACTCGCGCCAGTGCTGGTTGCTCCTTACCGTGAGGCCGCTCCCCAGCTTGCTGCAGGCGAAGGTGATGCCCGGCCTCGTCGTCGTCGCCACGAACTGCAGCGAGCCAACCTTCTGCCGGTACTCCTCCTCCTCGCGCTCCTGAGCCTCCTCGTCGTCGAACGTCAGCTCGGCGTAGGCATCGATGGAGACCGGCGTCTTCGGGACTCGACCGCCCTGATCCTCTTCGATGAAACGCATGCGCAGCTTGTCAGCATAGCCTTGCTGGTGCAGCCACAACTTCCTCGCCGGCCTGTCGCGGACGATCTCCAGCCCGAGGTATTTCGCTTCCGGCGAGATCTCACGCAGCTCGAAGGCGGACTCTAGCAGCTCCTTCAGCTCCTTCAGCATCACGGTGCTACTGCTGGCGGCGAGCAGGTCGTCGACGTAGACCAGCACCCAGCAGGCCACACCGTCTCCGTCGACCTTGAAGTACAGAGCCTCGTCGACCTGCCTCTTCTTCCACCCAGCGTCGACCAGCAGGTTATTGAGCGCCTTGTACCACAACAGCGGTGACTGCTTCAGCCCGTACAGGCTCTTCATCAGCTTGCACACCCGGCCGGTAGTAATCCGGCTAGTACATGTACAGCACGCGGTCCAGCTTGTTCAGGAGGAAGGCGCTCTTCATGTCGAGCTGCATCAGCTGCAAGTCGAAGATGGCAACGATGCTGAGGAAGATCCTCATTGTGACGTAGCTGCTTACCGGCGAGTACGTCTCGTCGTCATCGGCGCCATACACCTGCGTGAAGCCATTCACGACCACCCTCGCCTTCTCCCGGGCGACTGTGTCGTCGCTGTGGTACTTGGTCATCAGCACCCACCGGTTCTTCATGATGTTGACCCCATGCGGGCGTTCGACCAGCTCCCAAGTCCCCATGCTGATGAGGCTGCGGATCTCCTCGTCCATGGCGGCCTTCACCGCCTTGCCCTTCCAGCTCGCCAAATGCCTCCTTCACCGTCATCGTCGCGATGTCCTAACGGTGCTCAGGGTCGGTGTGCATGTCAGGGTCGAGCTCTGGCAGGTCGACGTCGTCCTCGGCATCGTCGTACAGCAGGTCATCATCGACCTCGTCATACACCATGTTGAAGGCGGCCGGTACGAAGAAGTTGGGCAGCCTCCGAATTCGGCCAGTACGCCGTGGTCATGCTGGACCTTCACCACGTCGCTGCCCTCAACGTCCTGCTGCACCTCAGTCGGCGTTCTTGTCAACTTCTCCCCTTCGGTCGGCTCCCCTGCCAACTGCTCGGTTGCCGACTGTTCCTTGGTCGGCTTCGCTGCTTCCTGCTCCCATGTCGACTACTGCCTTGCCGATGCCTCCTTCGCCCGCTTCACCACAGTCGGCTGCACCCCCTCGGCCTGCACCTTCCCTGACGGCGTCGACTTCACTCCCACGCCGACTTGCTGGACGTCACGTCGGCCACCGGCGATGCTCTTGGCCGGCGCCACAGATGACGGCACACTTCTCCCCTCATCGCCGCTGACCGGCGTCGATGTCTGTGTACGCAGGTCGGCTTCAAGGGGTGGGGCTCGTGGGACAGGGGAAGAAGGGCGGAAGACCTCGGCGTCCTCATCAGCAAGCTCAGGCACGGAATGCCGTTTTGTGGACTGAGTTGTCTGCCATCTTGATCTGCCAGTAACCCGACCGTAGGTCCGGCTTCGAAAACACCCTTGCACCACGCAGTTGGTCTAGAAGATCGTCTATGCGCGGTATGGGGTATTTGTCGTTGCACATCCGTAAACTACCGTCCGGATTTGGAGTGAAGAGAATTGGTGCACCGTAGGGAGACGTGGATGGGCGGATCATATGTCAGTTCAGTAGATACTCAATCTGCTTCTCATGTCTGTCAGTTCGGTCGGACTAAGGCGGTATGGTGCACGTGAGACGGGTTTCGCACCTGGTTCCTCCACGATTTTAT